TGCCCAATGCCCCTGTGGCTCTGGCCCAGCTTATCTGCATCATGGCAGACTCTTACAGGCACGAATGCAAAAAAAATCCACTGGGCTGTAAAGGTGAGCCTGCCTGGCTCCAGTTGTATGTGCTCAGGGGGCACATAGAGTATTATCCACTGGAGCACTCTACATTGTTGTGTTTTGCCTCTGACTCCCAGGAGGAGTTTGGGAATGCAGACAGGGTACGTTTATCTTGGGAGTAGATACCAACTCCGCAAGCAGAACATGTATGTATTCTGTTTGTTTTTCTCTAGGAGTGCAGTGCAATGGTAGCATTTGAAAAGTTGAAATCACAGCTGAGATCTAAAAATTTTGCAATACTGATGTCAATATTTTCTCGTAGGCTTTACATGACATCATTTTGTGTCCATGTTAGGATACAGCCTTCTAATTACACAGATACGTTCTTCCTCTACTTTTAGTGCATAAATGCTCTTGTATTTTCCTTTAAAAAAAAAACCACTTAACTGTTTTCTGCAAGAATAAAGGCTGTTATAATTGATACTGTTACAGTAGTTCTTAAAATGTCATAATTATGCTAAGTGGTTTGTCAGGTGTGGCATATTACATTTGCAACTAACTGGTTGGGTTTTGGACAAAAGTAATTCTTGGAAGGTGTCCCTCTTCATTTGCTGCTGTAGTTGCATAGGGATGAATTCCCAGCTTGCAAGAAAAGAAAGGGAGGATCCTCTGGAATGACAGTCCAGAGGCGTGAGGTGCATCCCTGGTTGTGCTGTGGTTCCTGTGTAATGTTGCGGTTCCTCTAGCTGCTTGCAGGTGGTCATCACATTTCTCTCTCCTCTTCCAGACTTTTAAGATTGTGATTTGCAGGACTGTTGAGTACTTTTAATGGTAGCTGAATCAGTGGGATCTCTATTCTAAATGTATCGTGTGCTATAGCCTGTGGAAGCACCAGATTGTAGGTGTATCAAAGCTGACCCCCAGATTAATGGATATTTTTGATCTGAGCCTGTGGAAACAGCATATTTTTGAAAGGTTATGGTGAGAGAAAATCTGGATTTTTCATGGTGATTGCAAAACATATACCGGTCAGCAGAACTGCAAGACTTTAATGGGTATGAAGTACTAAAGTCCTTTAGAGACAGGATCACCTGCATTATTAACACAAAAGGTATTTTTCCTTTAGCTATCTCTTCAAAACTGTTACTGAAACATAAGGAAAAGAAATTACTTGAAAGCAGGAAACCTGGCACAGTTAATACAGATCACAGCCAGAGCTTCCCAACACTGTAAATAACCAAAAATTGTCTTAGAATGTGAATCATTTGAATAATGAACAATGCTACCAGCTCTGTGGAGGATAAAAGCAATTAACACATAAAATAAACATCTGTAAGTAGCTGAGAAAATCTTATACACAGAGGACACCCAACTTTCAGTAGCCTTATATAAATTATTTCCTTTCTCCTTTTTCAAGGTTGAAGAAGGGTCATTATTGTTCTGTCGCTTGTCACTTCTACTGATGAGAAATGTATTGGTCGGACACTGAACGCTCCTTTAACTGGAGAACTGACTACTGTGTTCCTCAGATATACCCGAACTGCTTAGGAACCCTCTTCATAGAGTTTCTTCTTCATGTAGATGTTGATGATCAGTGGCAAGAGTGTCCTTGATGACTGTGCTGCTGTGCAGCATGGCCTTTGAGAACACTGCCTCGTTTGGTTTGCAAGAACATACATTAATGACTGTACAGAGGCTGTGTGGGAAACTGTCTTCAGTTCTGCCAAGTGGACCTAACAAATCAGAAAGGTTAAAAACCCCATGTCATTAGCTGTGAATATGACTTAATAGTCTGAATTTTTGTTTAGAGTCTTTGCGCTAATTATGCCTTTGGCAGCAGTAACCATTAAAAACATTGTCCCTCTTCTAAAGATACAGAAAAGGAAAGACAAAGCTTTTGAAATGTCAAATATTAAAAATTATGTTTTGATTTTAGTGTCTTTATTCCCCTTATCTGAAGAGCTTTTTTTAATTAAATAAACATGAACTCCGTTCAGCAACTTCATAAAGACTGTTTTATTCTAAAGGAGAAAACGTAGCTAGCTGAGAAGAAACAGCTATGTAGCTTCTGCTTCGTGTTGAAGAGGCACGCAGATGAAAGGCAGGCGGTGCAGCTCCTCTGTCTGGCATAGGCTTGTGCTTTACAGCTTTGCTGCCGAAAAGCTCCGGGCCCAACACTGATCAAGCTAGCAAACCTGTACCAGCATCAAACTGCCTTTGCTTTTAGCTCCTGCTGCCTCGTCAAGTCAATGGCAGCAAATGATGCTGGCCTGGCTGGCAAAAGCAGACTGATCGTATTTAAGTGAAAAGGATCTGACGTTAGGAATAGAACCCTGGTAAGGCCATTAGTGAAGTGGAGGAAGTCAAAGTGGAAATACATAGATGTAGTAAATCCCAGCAAGTGGTTGCTTCTTATGAATAAAATTAATCTTCAGAATTCAATAAAATAGAGCGGCATTTTTCAGGGTGCTTGAACACTTGTACTTCCAGTCCCACAGGGTACACTAGCCATGAGAAGGGTAACATTACCCATTTGTATGGTGGCAATATCTGTAATTAGTGGCAGTTCTGTGAGCTCCTTCCAAGGACATCTTAGCCCACAAGGTAATTATGGGCTTATCACTGGCGACCAGCACATCACCGTGTGGAGGTTTACCCTTGCTCGAGTCACTCTTCCCCTTTAGGGAGTTTGGGCCTTCTGGAGTTTCTGGTGCCAGACAAGACAATACAATAATTGGACATTATTCCTTGCAAATGACAGCATTGCTGAGGTTGAAAGGAACCTCTTGAGATGGTCTAGTCCAACCCCGTTGCACAAGCAGGGTTGCTGAGCACTCAGTCCAGTTGGATTTGAGGAACTCCACGGATACTCTACATCATCTCCAGGCAACTTATTCCAGTGTTTGACAACCTTCACAGTAAAAAAGTGTTTTAACGTGTTCAGATGAAATTTCATGGCTTTTTAATTTGCATCTGTGCTTGTGGTATCAAACTGTGAGTGGTTGCGGAGATTTGAGGTTAACTCTTTACCTTATTCCTCAAATTCTAGTAAATCCTCATTATTTTCTATGGCATGCTTGGCCTATTAGGAATGATTTTTTTTTTTTGTCACTTTAAGAAGTCTAACTGAAGAAAGGATGGAGACTATCACATCTGCATTGCCTAAGAATCAATACTTCAGCTTCTTCAACTGTTATCAGTCTGAAAAAAGGCATTGCTGGCATCTCATGCTTGCAGTAAATGCTGCTGTTTTGTTCTCAAATGTGCTCAATGTCATGGTGCTGTATTAGTTGTAGATTAGTAAGATTTGATCAAGTCAGTTTGATGTAATTTAATTAACAGCTTATTCTGTGCAAGTAATTTTATGGGAGACCCTTTAAGGCCAGCTGTAACCTGGGGGGCTAAAAAGAGTAAGAGTAGCTACTTGAGAGCAGATGAGCAATGTTGTAATGCTGCTTCAGGAGTCTCTAAGCTTATTTTCTTGAAATACAAAATTTGAGGAAAGATCAACTCTATAATACAAGGCACATACATGAATAACAATTATCTAGATACAAGTTTGGGAACATCCCTTTCAGTCCTGGTTTAGCATGATTCATTATACCAAAAAAAGTTCTTGAGAAAGTGTTTTGTGGACAGTGATAAGACGTACAACTCAACTTTATGAAATGGTGTAAAATGCATACCTAAGAATTTCTGTAGTAGTCATCTGCGGTCTTTTTTTTCCACTGAATTGTCTGAGAACAGGTGAGCCAAATGCATCGATATTCTGATTAATCCCATTTAAAACTCCATCTGTCATTACGGCTTTCCATGAGGTGTATGTGAGGCTAACCATTCCAGACCCAGGGCATTCTGAGGATTGTATTTTGTTTTGCACTGGAGGAGCACGTTAACACAGTGCAAGACAGAAGCATTCACAGAACAACAGGAAAGAATGGGAAGTAAACAGGAATTACAAGATAGTTTGGTGTTTGGTTCTTTTTTGTTGTTGTGTTGTTTTGTTTTCTGGAAACAGCCAATGCTTTTTCTCCTCGCGTACTGAAAGCATTAATTGCTAGCTTTGTTTTGTGCTGGCAGCACCAATACTGGTTAAAAGATCTATTTCAGGCTGCATTTGTTTCTCCATGCCCTCAGAGTCGGCACCAAGGTAAAAGAGGTTTCAAAGTTTTGGCCTTTGTTGAGCTTAGTCTATAGGCAATATGAAATGGTAATTTTCGCACACATCACCAAGTCTTAAAATATCTCTGATGACAACACAACCTTTTGCTATGTCTAACATTAGAGATTAGTTCAGACTGAGTGGTTCTTAGGATTTGGTTTTCACCCTCTGTAAAACTTGGGCTTCCCTTTTTACTTCCTTCTCATTTCTTTTGGAAGTGTCACAAATTTTCCAGTGTCCTAACCACCTGATCCGATGTCTAGATATGGATAAGATCAAACCTTATCTGCAAGTAAAAAAATAATTTTGTAATTCTAACATGACATGCTTATTTTTTGTCCACATCCTCATAAAATTACATTACTGCCATTCTAGTTATAAGCTGCCTCTGAACAATGTATACGAGTTTTCTTTCTAGGTAGGTTTTTATTTAATTTTTCCTTCACTTCCTTTTAAAACATACAAACAGAAAAATACACTGGAAGGAAAAGGTTTACATCTCATAGGATTCTATATTGAAACTTACTCCAAACACTGTTAGAAGTTCATAGGAAGATTCTCTTTGGATCTTTTTTATTCACCTAATGCATTAAAAAAAAACCCAAACAAATGATAAAAATATGTGGTATTAAGGAAACAATGGCTTTGCAGTTCAGTGTCTATCTTGAATCAGCCGCCCTTCACAAGGGCTCCATAAACATATTCTGGGTCTGCTGTAGTATCTTGTTGACTAGACACACTACTGGTCAGTACACAAATAAATACACGTTATTGGAAGTCAGGAACAAGTGCTCACTCCAAGTTTTTATTAAAATTGAACACAGGGACGTATTTGAACATAGTTCTGGTTGAGAATCTAGACAGCTAATAGGTTTTCAGGATCATCTGGTTTTACAGTATTGCAGAATCTCAGTTAACCCTTTTGAGCGTACATTCACAGGAACATGAAAATGAGGAAGCACCTCGTTATTCAGCCAACAACCACTACATCATCACCAAGAAACTGGTAAGTCGGAACCTCAAGGTTATAGGGAGCAGGACCTTTCCTGATTCTGCCAGAGGCATCGTAATGGGACCCGTGGCAAGGGCAGTAATAACCGCCAAAATCCCCTGAGTTAGCAATGGGTACACAACCAAGATGAGTGCAGACACCTACTAATATGACCCACTCTGGCTTCTTTACTCTGTCTAAGTCATGCTGCGGATCCCTCAGTTTAGACAAATCAACTTCAGCTTCCTGATTAATCTCTGCCTGGGTTCTGTGACGCACAAAAAGGGGCTTCCCTCTCCACTTGAAAGCCATGTTCTTGCCTTCTGGAATGTCAGATAACTTGATCTCAATCTTTGACAACGCTAGCACATCAGCAGAGGCACTCAGGCTGGAAATAAACTGGGTGACAACATTCTTAGCAGCATATGCAGTTGCCACGCATGTCGTTGCAGTCACCAGGTAGGAAAACCCTTTTCTAGCTTCACTGCTGCTTTGAGAAGATGTGGTGGCATCCAGCACATCTTGACGACGATAGGCAGAGAAGTCAGGTACGGCAACATCATTATGGACGCAACGAACACTGGCGGGTGCTGCAAGAAAAAGAATATGAAATGACAATGCTTTCAGGTAAAAAAACATTATGATGTATTTTAAGTTACACTTTTTTAATTGCATTTTTGGAATAATGGGTAAAAGTTATTCCAAAGTCTGGGTAGGATTCCTCTAATTATACAGTTCATTTTTAAGTTGTAGGAGAATGGTTTCCAGAAGGTATTTCTGGTAGATAAACAGATGATTTATGAAACCATTTTCCCCAGTATTTGAAAATTACATGAAGCCTGATAAGGGTGCAGAAAAATCTGCAATGAGTTCTGGGTTTAAAGTGAACTCTTTTTCAGAAGATTTCAAGGAAAAACTCCTGCAAGCTACCATGACTAGCTAAGACAAACCAGACCTGTTTTCCATTCAAATGTTTCCCTGAAAAAATTGCTATGAAGAAATTTGATTTAGTAAACTTTGCACATCTGTAGTTTAACACTTTGACTTAAGTAACTTCTATACCTTTAATAATCCTAAGTGTGCAGTTAAAAATGCAGTATCAGGCAACCCCCTCTATATTAAACTGTTGTCAAAGCTAACTGCCCCAATAAATAATCTTTAAACCTACAGTCCCCTGTTTGCCAGGCTCACTTCATAGAAGAATTTAGGGATAAAGCTAATAACTGTCCAATTCCGAAGCTTTCTCAAGTGGGACTCCCATGTCCAACCTGTGTGCTAACCTAACAAGATGTGAGGGCTGACTAAGAGGCCTTCCATTAGTTTGTCCAGCAAAAGAAAGCTGCCTCCCTCTACGAAAATCTATAAGCCAAAAAAGAACGTGCCAAAGACAGAACCTATTGCTTGCCAAAGTGCAACCTCTGTTATTTGAAGAGAACTATTTAGTTGTCTTTTTTCCTAGCAGTTGGCAAAAAGTTAACAGAGATTAATAAAAACCATTCTCTCAAAGTACTCAAAATAACTAGTAACACACAATATGATTAACTTATAAAATTCCCTATATTCAGTGAAACGCTGATGAAAATTACTTGCTGTTAATTAAAACTAAGAATAAGACTAAATGTCAGCTACATTAGTTAGAGATTTGTAGAATTTTCACCTGAACGTATCTTCTACAGCTGAGGGTCAGGTGAAGTACGTAGTTCTAATCACTACAGAGCATCATCCACGTGGCACTGCCATCATCGCCAAGGCTTATATGAATATCCAATGTAACAGTGTGAAGGAAACTGACTCCATGCCCAGCATCACCAGAGAAGGGCACTGGTTCTCCATGAAATCCAAATGGGTCGTTTCATGGAGAACCACTGCACTTTGGCTGGAGTCAGGTTCTGCAAGGACGACTTGGGACTAACTTTACCTGCTGATGGTTTTCTGAGCACTGCATGAGCAGGGGGTAAATACAGGAATTTCAAAAGAGGAAAATAATGAGGGCTTTGACACAGTGAATTCACTGTTAGAGTCGTTTATCTTGCAGTAGTAAAACACACTGAGTTCTCACTGCCTGTCTCTGATGCCCCTCAGTGAAACACCTTATTGAACTAAATGGAGTTTTCCTGCATCTTCCCAACTGCAAAATGAATATCCCCCGAGTGATCACAAGGAAGCAGGCTTGTAAGTGCCCTTAACTCTACAGTCAGAAACGCGTGTTACCGTAATGGTGACAACTTACAATTCTTTTTTTTTTTTTTTTTTTAAAAAAAAAAAAAGCAGCAAAAGCAAGACCCTCCGAACTAACGCAGGACTCT